GAGAGCGACACGGACACCGATGACGACGTCGGCGAGACCCTCGACGGCTGGGACGTCCAGGGCAAGATCGGCCAGGACGACGACGTTATCCAGCAGCATCTGTTTTCAGAACTACGCTTTCCACCAGAAGCGCTGGCAACGCTCCACAGGACGGCCTACGAGGTACCATCGCTTTGGCAAGGGCTCGCTGATCCCATTCCGAGGTGCCCTCGGATCGCGAGGACACGGCGGTGATCAAGGGCATCACCACGAAGGCAAGCGAAAGCCCGTCGGCAGAGATGTGGCAAAGGTGATGAGGTGCCCGACGAGGGGCCGCGAGAGTGAGCTCCAGCTGGTCGAGGACTGTCCGCGCGCACATAGCTCGGTGCCGCCTCCCGGCGCAGCGCCCGCACCGGCAATAGGGCGAGAACGGCCCTGGCGCCGCCGGGACACCGCCGAGCGGGCGGGCTTCACGCGACCCGCCCCCCCGAGCGGCGCCCCGCTCGGGCCGTGGGCGACGCCAGGACGGGTCCAGATCACCAGGCAGAACACGGGGCGGTGCTGGCGGGAGCAGGAGGTCCACAGGGCGGGCACGCGCGGCGCTCCGGAAGGATCACACATTATTATTCACCTGCGCCCCACACTGGCCCGCGGCCGCGCGCGCCGGGTTGGGCCGCTCGCTCGCCCGCGCACCTGCGATCGCACGCGGCGGCGGGGGCGCGCGTCGCTGCGCCCCCCCCCCCCCCTGCACGCGCGCCCGGCACGACCCGTCTGCTCGGCATGCCCGCCCGCGACACGCGCGCGCGCGCGGCGCCCAGCGCTCCGCGTGCGCGCGCCGCGCGCTGAGGCACCTACGGTATTTCTGTGACCATCCAATGCGTCGCCTGCAAATCCGCCACAAAAATAGCCTGGCCATCTCCTGGCGCGGCGTCCGCACCGGCATAGGGCGAGAACGGACATGGCGCAGCCAGGACTGCGCCGAGCGGGCGGCGGCGGCGGTTGACGCGAACCGCCACCGAACGCCGCCCAATGCTTCGCGGTTCCCCGCCGCGACGCCCGGACAGATAAGGCCCTCGAGACCCTCTTCGACTTCATCTGGACGGCCTGGATACAGATGTTCGGTCCCATGGCGGTGCTGACGGTCGACGGCGAAGGAGCACTTGCAGCAGAAGAGTCTGGAGTTGCTCTACGTAGGATGAGCACCACGCGGAAGCTCAAGGCGCCAGGTCAGCATGCTCAAGTGGTGGAGCGACATCAAGAGAGATTATGAGGAGGCAGTTCCACTTGATCGATACGCAATGTCGAGAGAACGACATCAAGCTGCCCTCCGCCCAGAAGCTGGCAGAGGCGGTCTGCGCGAAGGACGCCTTCCTGACGATCGGCGAGGGCACACCCTACAAGGCGCTGTACGGCAGAGTGCCCATGATGCTCAGGGACTTCGACAGAAGTGGCGCCCAGGAGATCGATGACGAGGACAGCCTGGCCATGTGTCGGCACGCGCAGAGGTTGCGAGAGATCGCGACGACGTCGATCATCGAGGCCACAGCTCAAGCAAGAATGGAGAGGGCTTCCAAGGCCAGGTCGGCCCCCGTGCTGGAGGATCTGAAGCTCGAGGTCGGTGACCTGGTCGACTCCTACAAGCCCGGCAAGGCCCCGAAGGATGTGCCGAACCGGAAGGGCCCAGCTACGGTGGTGTCGGCGGCGGCGCCTGAGACAGGCACGCTCACCATCCAGTGGCAGCACAGAGACCTCGCGATTAGGGCCACGGACGTGAGGAGGGCTATCTTGTTCTCCTACGCCGTGGCGTTCGTGGCGACGGAGAACGACCCGGCTCAGCTGCTTATCGATTTGGTGCACGACCTTAACGACGGCTTCGAGCACCTGGGCTGGGCAACCACGGCGAATGGCTGAGCGCTGACGAAGACATCGCGGAAATACCCCAAGGTCGTGGCGGCGATGTTGCAGGTAGCCTCTTGTGATCTTCATCTCAACGGAGTTTCAGCGGCTCGAGTTTGGAAAAGAGTACCTACGCTGCCAGGACTGTACGACTTTGAGTACTATGTGTTGGTGGATACCCAAGCGGCAGAATAAGGAGGACACCAGGATTGAGGCCATGATTATGGAGAATGAGCAGCATCGGAACACCTCAGTCTCAGAGACGGATATTTGGGGACAGGGACTGGAGCGCCACGTTTTTCATGCAATTTCTGTCCGTGAAGCTTGACGCGCTGGATATACTTCAAGTGCAGGCGCCTGAGGTGCCACATGTTGGAGGGCCTCACCTGCCGGGAGTGGACGCCTGGCGTCGAGAGCACCGCTTGATGCCCAAGAGGCCACGTTCAGCGGGATCCCAGGAGTCCGAGAACCCCAGGAAGCACGTGGCAAGACGCTTGGAAGATGATCCACCAGAGCCACCTCCGGCGCCTCCTCCAGGACTCCCGCCGCCTCTCGAGCCGTGCCCGAGGAGACCTCAGAGGCGGATCCAGAAGTCGATGGGATGGAGGAGCTATTTTCGACGGAAGCGCTGTGGGCTACCGCCAAAGAGGGGAAGTATGAGATCGAGAAGGCCGACATCATGGAGCTGACGAGCGATCTACCTGAGGCGCGCGACACAACGGCGCTCGGACGGAGTGAAGTGATCTCAGATTACGACGTGATGGAGGCTTGAATCACCCAGGAGACGAACTGCGGCAGAGCTACGGCGGAGATTGTGGAGTCTCTGCAACCCGAGAATCTGATGCAGGTTGGCTTCGCGGCGGAAGCGTGGAAGATGCTGAGCGAAACTCTGCCGTGGGGGGATCCAAGACACGAGAATGACGTGGTCGTGCTGAGCTCATACGAGGACGGCACCGCGAAGGCGGTCATCGAGAGAGACGACAGCATCTTGACGCCGGCCGAGAAGATCGAACATCGTGAAGCCCTTCGAGCAGCTCTTCTGAAGCAGCTACGTCAGTGGGCTGGCTTCATGGCCATGTCGAGGACCAGCTGGAGAGGTGCCAAGAACCTCGTCGACGCGAAGTGGGTAGATGAGTGGAAGTGGACGCAAGCATCGGATGGCACTGCGACGAGAATCATACGCAGCAGGTTGACGGTAAGAGGCTTCAAGGATCGGCACAAGGACGAGGTGAAGATGTTCACCGGCACTAGCGCGCGATGGGGCCAGAGGATGGTGAACATTCTGGCGGCTCAGCACCAGTGGAAGTTGTGCAGTGGGGATAACTCTTCGGCGATCTTGCAAGGAATGACATTTGAGGAAGTGGTGAAGCTGTTGAATGAACCTATTCGGGACATATGTTTTGAGTCCCCGAAAGGATCCGGCGAGCTGTTGTGTGAGGCCGAAGGCTTCGAGGGTATCAACAGCATCTTGGAGGTTCTCCACATGGAGAAGGGCGGCTTTGGACTGAACGATGCTCCACGGCTCTTCGGTCTTAGCCGCGATCAGGTGTTGTTATCCATTGGACTGCGGGCCACGCACGCGGATCCGCAGCTCTGGCTGAAGCATGAGAGCAGAGTATTGGTGATGGTGGCATCGACGCACCTGCACGACTTGAAGTACGCCGGCCGTGACAAGGCCACGTCCGAGCTGGTGCGGGCGCTGGAAGCAGTGTTCGGGAAGATGACCATGCAGGAGAAGAAGTTCAAACACTGCGGTCTGCGCCACCGACAGCTGGAGGACATGAGCATCGAGGTGAACCAGACGGAATACATCAAGAACCAGAACTGCATCGACGAGAAGGAGCTGCAGGGCATGGCAGATGACGCGGAACCTCCGGGAAGGCACGTCTCCTTCCCTTCTTGGAGCCATCGCGTGGTGTATCATGACGAGAGTGGACATCTGCATCTATGTTGCTGCGCTCCAGAGGCATGGCAAGAGTCCCAGAGTCGGCCACATCAAGAAGATGAACATATTGCTGCGATATGTGAAAGAGAATCCGCTGGTTCTCATGTCTCATAAGCTATCGCTGCCAGTGAAATTGGTCACGGTCGGAGATGCAGCGTTTCGGCGAGAACCAGATGATAAAGGACTAGCCATGCGAGGGGCAGTGCACTTGTTGGTGGATGATGGAGAAGGCCCTGGAGGTAAATGCAATATTCTGGAATATTACGCACGAAAGCAGGCCCACGTTGTCCGCAGCACGTGGGGAGCCGAGTTGTCTCAGCTATTGGATGGATGTGACTATCTTTCGAAGTTTGCGTGGATGCGCGGAGCGTATTCACCGGTATCACAGCGGAGCAAGTTCGGAGTCCAGCAGAGCGTCACACGTTATATCACGCCCAGTGGGTCAGAGAATTGCTGGATCGATCGGTCTTGCGTAAGTTGTGGTGGATCGACACGCGAGATTGCACTGAGGTGCGTCTCACGCGGATGGTGGAGATTGGAACATGAGGCGAAAGCATGGAGATCGAGTGGACGTGTGCTCCAGAAGTTACCTTCAATTGAGCACTGCCTATTGGTCTTCGGTGGCGTGGGACCACGCTGCATTCATATGTGGTGGACCTTCGTGCGGAGACAGGAGGTTCACAGGTCATGTGATGGTCTGGGCAGCCGACGGCATGATGAGGGAATGCTGGGAGCTGGAGCCGGAGATCAACGACCTGAACACGTTCATCACCAGAGTCGAGATTTGGGGGCTGGACGTGGTGAGAGAGCAGGGCAGCGAGCTGGACGTCGACGCCGTCTCGCCGGCGTTCTGGCTCAAGGCCTACTGACAGAGGCCGGCCGAACGGACTGGCCTGCGCCCGAGGGCGCGGCGGACATGAATTGCGGCTCCGCCTGAGCTGCGACGTGGAGGAAAGGTTCCTCTCGACTGAGGAGGGGGAGGAGGAGGCGGACGAGGAGAGAGGAGGGGGAGGAGGGGGGGGGAGGAGGGAGGAGGGGGAGGAGGGGGGGAGGAGGGGGGAGGATGAGGGAGGAGGGGGAGGAAGAGAAGGAGGAGAAGGAGGAGGAAGAGGAGGAGGAGGAAGAGGAGGAGGAGGAGGAGGGGGAGGAGAAAGGTGAGGAGGAGGAGGAGGAGGCACCGTTTCTCGGTCGTGGCGCCCCCAGGCCCTCGACGCCTTCGAAAAAAGCAAGGCGAGGGTCCTTCGCCAGTTCCGGCCTCCCGCGGGGGCCGGTGTCGGGCCACGGGGGCGGCGGGATCTGTCACTGCACGGGTGAGACTGGACCCCGCACCCTCCCCTCCCCGTCTCCGCCACGCATCGCGCAACTTGCAACGAGGCAGAATTGGGCTGTCGCCCTGCGGCTTGAAGGCCAAGGGGGGGAGGCAGAGACAAGAGTGAGGGTATTGATTGCCTCTCTCCCTTCTTGCGGGCTCCGTCCGAGGTTCGCTTTGCTTGTATGGCGGATCATGTGCCTCTCAGCTCTGAGTCCTGAAGGAGTCGAGAGGTTTGGGGACCCCGTATGTTTTGTCTTTGTTTTTTTTATAAATACATATATATATATATATGTGTGGAATGATAATAATAAGAAGAATAAAAAAGATAATAAAAATAAGAATCGGAATAAGAGTAAGAGTAACAATAATAAGAACTAGTAATAATACATTAAAAATAAGAAGACAAAGCATACAATAATAATAATAACAATAATGATAATAATGATAATGATAATAATAATGATGAGAACACAAATAATACTAAACATAATCACCATTTCAAATTTCATACATGAATGAACTAATCATAAGAATCCTAATACTAATAATCATAACATTAATAGTAATAATAATGATACGAATAAAAGTCGTAGTAATAATATTAATAACAATTGTAATAAGCATGATAAGTATTATGCATCTCTTTGGAGACAAACACAACAAAACAAAACAAATGCAAAAAAAACGGCGGCCGTGCCACGCATGTCTCCACGGGAACGCTCGGCCGCTCCCCCAGTTTTTCAGAGTCGACCGCACCTCAGCTTTCGTGGCGCACTCCGAAGGGCTCCATGGCAGCACGATGCACCGCAGAGCGGGCGTTCCGCATGCGGGGATCAGGCGGGAAGGGAGGAGCAGGGCAGAAAAGGAAGGGAGATGAAGGATAGCCAAGCGGAAACGCAAACACACCAGCACCCTTGCGCGCGCGCGAACGCGCGACAGCACGTGCGCATGTCCCGTCGATCCCTGCACGCGGAGATCACCTTGGCCCCGCAGTTGCGGGCAAGACCGAGGGGGCAACCGACAAAGGCATCGCGGTGTGCGCGGGTCGCCAGCGGGCCGTGCGGGCGAGAGCACACAAGAGTGCCACCCGAAAGACAGAAGCAGCCCGCCACATTCGGGCACCGATTTTGACTTTTCCCGGACACAGGGCTGCTTTCGCTTTCAATTGAGCAAACAACTGTCATACGCCTCTGGGTTTTCGCCCGGTCGTCACCCGTGGCCGCCTCGTCGCCGCCTCGTCGCCGCCTCGCGCGCTGGCTGGCGCTTCCAGCTTATCGGCCAGTCGCCGCCTGTGGCCGCCCGCCACCGCCTTGTCGCCGCCTCGTCGCCGCCCGCCGGCGCCTCGAGGCCGACTCGCGACCATTTCTCGCCGCCTCGTCGCTGCTCGGTGGCCGCCTGGTCGCCGCCCCGTGGGCACATTGTTGCCGTCGCGTGGCCGCCCGGTCGCCGCCTCGTGGCCGCCGCGTGCGCTTGCACCACATAAGGTTACACCACGTAGCTTGCACCACACACCTTGCGCCAAATAGCTTGCACCACACGGCTTGCGCCACACAGACCTTGTACCGCATCGTGATTGCACTGCGTAGCTTGCACCACATAGCGTGCACCACCTAGCTCTTGCACGGCATAACTTTCACCACGGGGCTTGCACCACATAGCTTACTCCGCACAGCTGGCAACAACCACATAGCTTGCACTGCATAGCTGACACCACATCCCCTGCACCACGTAGCTTGCACTTCCAGGGTGCAGCAACTCGATGCCCGGGGTCCACGCTGGCAAAGACTTCTGCCCAAGAGGCAATACCGGTGGATCACGGGGCGGATCGTCGGCGGGGCGCATGAGAACAGGCACGCAACGGCGTTCTCTGGAGCTGGTGCGCAACAGGCCGCCAAAAGTGCCCATATCTTCTACCAAAAAATCATGCCGTCTGTCGCGGGCGGGACGTCGGCGTCGCGGGGGCGCATCCTGGGAGGGTCGCGGGGCGCGTCGCGTCAGGGTCGCATGGCGGGTCGCGGGGCGGAGCGCGGGGTGGGTCGCGAGTGGGTTGCTGGGCGGACCGCGGGTTGGTCGTAAGGCGGGTCGCAGGGGCGGCGAAGTTGAGAACGACAACAACAAGAAGAAGAAGAACAACAACAACAACAACAAAAACAAAAACAAAAACAACCACAACAACAACAACAACAACAACAAATACAACAACAACAACAACAACAACAACAACAACAACAACAACAACAACAACAACAACAACAACAACAACGACGACGACGACGACGACGACGACGACGACAACAACAACAACAGCAACAACAGCAACCCGCACCGCGGAAGTCACCTCAGCTACACGCACAGAGATAGTGTAATACCGTTCGGCCACCCTCACTCTGGTATGTGTGCATTCCCGTGTTCCTGCTTCCCCTTCCCTCTGGCAGGATGTGCCTCCGCATCCATCTCGTGCCGACTGTGCAGGTGCGTCTTTTGAGCACACTCGGCCACAGCTCCTTTGTCTGCGTAATCCTCACCGCACAGATCGGGCAAGACTCAGTGAGGCAGGATTATTCTACGCCATGCCCCCGCTCCTCTCACATCTGCCTTTCCCCATGCACAGTGCCAAGAGTCTCTCTTCCTCATACAGACGTCATCTCTTCTGAAGTTTGCGCGCTACGGGAACACCACCCCATCCCGTTGGTGCTACTTGGGGACTCGCAAACATCGGGAGATCATACGCGCGAAAAACAGTAGCTGCTGCAGCCCTCAGCAGCACCAGAAGTCCCACAAGGGTTCATCAGCTCGGTAGCAATCGCCCCGGTGCATCGGCCAAGAAAAATGTATGCGGCAACCATGGATGGTCTACTGACGCCCGCTTGGTGGACATATAATGGCATTCGGCCCATCCCGCCACCACCGTGTCTGGATTGAGAGCCAGATGCCTCCTGGATGCCTGCCGAGGTCTTTTGGGATGCCTCTCGGGGGTCTCTCAGAGGCCTCTTGAAAGGACTCTTGGGGCATCTTCGGGGCCTCCCGGGGGTCTCCGTCTCCTGGAGGCCTCTTGTTGGGGCCTCTAGGGTGCTCTTGGGATGCTCTTGGGGGCTACCTAAGAGGATAAGGCTGCCAAGGATAGATCGAGTTCCCTCTCGAGGGCCCCTTTTGGGATCCTCTGAGGGGCCTCTCGGGCCGTCTTGAGAGCCTCCCTGGGTCGTCTTGGGGCTCTCTTGGGCCTTTCTTGAGTGCCTCTTGGCCCGTCTTGGGGCGATCTTGGGGTTTCTTGGGCCGTCTTGGGAGCCTGAAGCTCGAAAGCGCAAGTACGCGGAAGCCATTCAAATCCTGAGGATAATAAGTGATGTTGATATCTGGGGGCCCTTTGGGGGTCCTCTTGGCGCCCTCTTGGAGCGTTTTGGCTGCCTGTTGGGCCAACTGGACGTTACTTTAGCTGTCTTGGGCCGCCCGCCCTAGGACCGACTCGGGGCCCTCATGGGCCTCTCGGGACCCTCTTGGCCCGTCTTGGCGCTCCCTGGCCTGTGGGAAAATCGTGCAGCCCGCCCCGAAAATCACGCGACACGCCCCAGGAAATCTGGCAATTGATGCCCCGCGCCCCTTACGACGTGTTCAGTGCACTCAATACTGGACTGTCGAAAGGGACCTGAGGGCACTCCACTCCGTGTATCAGGGCACCGTCGCGGATTGGTTAAAAAAGAAAAGTCGGCAGAACTGCTGCTTAGCGAACAAAGCGCGGCCCATTCCCAAACTAAGTCACACCAAACCTTTGGGGTTGAGTGGTTCAGAGCGCTTCCTCATCCAACCCACTGCTTGCCACCTCGGGGAAAGGTTCACCCCTCACCCTAAACCCGCCCCTGGACCTGGAATGGGGGGCGGCGACCTGCTGCTACTACTGCTGCTGCTGCTAGCTCAAGAGGACTAGGTCCGGAGGAGAACGTGGGGAGGAGGAGGAGGAGGAGGAGGAGGAGGAGGAGGAGGAGGAGGAGCGACCGTGCCGAATGAGAAATGCAAGCTCGTCACCCTACAGCGCAAGGGCGAGCCAGTGAGAGGCAGCACATTGAGGGCTGAAGGCCTGATCGGGAGCGGTAAGTAATGGACTGTACCTCGCTGGTGGGAGGCCAAGGTCCCTCGGAGCCGCTCGCCCGTGGCTCGGGCCGGCTGCCGGCGGCCGTGCGGGACGGCTTCCCGGCAGCCCCGGAAACGCCCTCGACGTCGGCTACACGCAAGAGCGACCCTGGGTAAGAGTGAGCTTTTGGTGCGCGGCTTTTTGGGGGGCCGCGTGGGGACCAAACCCGGGCGCGCAGGCCATTGCTCCTGCCTCGCTTTCAGCCATCTGCGGGACCCATCTGTGCCCGCACCAAAGGCCACTCCAGCGCAAGGTCGCTCTTGCGTCTGGTCGACGACGGGGCGCAGCGGGCGGAAGCCACCCCGAGCCCAGAGGGCGCTACAGCAGGAGCTCGACCACTGTTTGCGCCGGCGGCGAAGCAGGGGAGGAGGAGGAGGAGGAGGAGGAGGAGGAGGAGAAGGAGGAGGAGGAGGAGGAGGAGGAGGAGGGGAGGAGGGGAAGAAGGGGGGGAGGAGGAGGAGGAGGAGGAGGAGGAGGAGGAGGAGGAGGAGGAGGAGGAGGAGGAGGAGGAGGACGGGGGCGCCGCTGGAGCGAAGCAGCCCGCGTGCAAGAGCGGGAAGAGAGGACGGGACGGGCGGCCACAGAGGGGGAGAGGGGCGAGGGCCACTCAGGGGCGGACGGGTCGCGGCCCTGCGTGAGCTGGCGCAGACAGCCCCGCCGGCGGGGACTGTACAGTCGGGGCCTTGACCTAAGGAACCCCAAAATAAGAAACGAAGCCCCTTTTTCCATAAATTGAACTTCGATTTCCGATCGAAAACATACGGAAAACCTGAGGCAAGCTGCGAAAGACTTAAGGAACGCGGAGCCCCTCCCCAACGAAAAGGGTTCCTTCTTCAGGGCCCCGACTGTAGCAGCAGCCGGGCCGCTGCGCTGGAGCACCGAGCGTCGACCACAAGAAACCCAACCCAGAGACCCCACGACGTCCATTGAGTTTTGGTGCGGGAGCGTCGCTGTCGCACTGTCCATGGCAGAGCCACCGAAGCCCAAGAAAGAAGCTCAGGGCACCCTGGAGGCGGGCAGGATGTCTCTTGGCACGAGTTTCCACTGCACACCCCTGCTTAGAGTTAGGAACATTTCACGGTAAGAGCATGGCCTTCACTCCAGGCGTTTTCTTAAAAACCGTAGTCCAGGACCAGATGCACGAACATTCCGCGAAGAAAAGGAACTCAAAAAAACGTCCAGGATCCGGTCCAGATTCTTGGTTCTCTTAAACGAAGTCTGGAGCCCACGAAAGTTGACGCGTTTTCTTCAGATGTCTGACGGGTGTCGAAAAATCTCCGAAACTCACCCTGAGCCGACCCCCACGAAAACGTTGCCCCTGATCTTTCTCCCGCCGGGCGCCGCTCACTCCTCCGCAGCCCTGGGGGTCAGGAGGCACTCCTGACCTTAGAAGTGGCCCTACTGTCCGGGCTGGCCACCGCAGCCTTCTGAGATCCTCCTCTGCTGCGACGGCGCGGGCTTCGTTTCCTACCAGGTCGGCGGCAGGACGACAACGACGACTACGACGACGACGTCCCCAGACCTCTGGGGACTAGAGACAATCACGCCACATCTACATATATATAGAGATATATATATATATATAAATAAATATATGTATACCTATACGACCACCCTTGGGGTGATAAGGAGGTTGTGGGGGGGGAGAGGAGGGGGAACCAACATCTGACTCAATCGATCTCACTCAACGGGACACCATGGGACACAACGGGACACCACGGCACACCACGGGACACCACGGGACACTTACCGATCTCACTATGGATCTCACTACCGATTCCACTCAACGGGACACCACGGGACACCACGGGACACCGCGGGACACCTCTCGATCTCACTATCGGTCTCACGATCGAACTCATTATCGATTCCACTCAACGGGACACCATAGGACACCACGGGACACCTCGGGACACCACGGGACACCACATCGATCTCACTATCGATCTCACTATCGATCTCACTCAACAGGACACCACGGGGCACCACGGGATAGCTGTCGATCTCACTATCGATCGCACTATCGATCTCACTCACTGGCAAACCACGGCACACCACGGGAAACCTCGGGGCACCACATCGATCTCAGTATCGATCTCACGATCGATCTCACTATCGATCTCACTCAACGGGACACCTCGGGACACCACGGGACACCACCATCCTTCGGGTGGTGGTGTCGCGTGGGGATGGGGGAAGGCGGGGGGAAGGCGGGGGGGTAAGGCGGGGGGAACCAACGTCTGACTCAATCGATCTCACTATCGATCTCACTCAACGGGACACCGCGCGGGACACCACGGGACACCGCGGGTCACCACGGGACACTTGTCAATCTCACTATCGATCTCACTATCGATCTCAATCAACGGGACACCACGGGACACCACGGGACACCACGGGACACCAGGGGACACCGCGGGACACTTCTCGATCTCACGATCGGTCGCACTATCGATCTCACTATCGATCTCACTCAACGGGACACCATAGGACACCACGGGACACCTCGGGACACCTCTCGATCTCACCATCGGTCTCACGATCGATCTCACTATCGATCTCACTATCGATGTCACTATCGATCTCACTCAATGGGACAGGACACCATAGGACACCACGGGACACCTGTCGATCTCACTATCGATCTCACCATCGATCTCATGTTTGGGGACACCACGGGACACCACGGGACACCACAGGACACCTCGGGGCACCACATCGATCTCACTATCGATCTCACTATCGATCTCATTCAACGGGACACCACGGGACACCACGGGACACCACGGGGACACCACGGGACACCGCGGGACACCGCGAGCCACCGCCACACGGACGGACGGACGGGCGGGCGGGGGAGAATCATTTGTCTTGACTTCGCCCTAGCAACGGCGGACACCAGGGGACACCACGGGACACCACGGGACACCTCGGGACACCGCTAGCGTCCGCCAGACGGGCGGGAGGGGAGAATCATTTGTCTTGACTTCGCCCTAGCAACGGCGGACACCACGGGACACCACGGGACACCGCGGGCCACCGCGGGCCACTGCTGGACGGGTGGAGGGGGAGAATCGTTTGTCTTGACTTCGCCCTAACAACGGCGGCTACCACAGGACACCACGGGACACCATGGGACACCACGGGACACCGCGGGACACCGCGAGCCACCGCGAGACGGGCGGGAGGTGGAGAATCATTTGTCTTGACTTCGCCCTAGCAACGGCGGACACCATGGGACACCATGGGACACCACGGGACACCGCGGGCCACCGCCAAACGGGCGGGAGGGGGAGAATCGTTTGTCTTGACTTCGCCCTAGCAACGGCGGACACCACGGGAAACCATGGGACACCTCGGGACACCACGGGACACCGTGGGCCACCGCCGGACAGGCGGGAGGGGGAGAATCGTTTGTCTTGACTTCGCCCTAACAACGGCGGTTACCACAGGACACCACGGGACACCATGGGACACCACGGGACACCGCGGGACACCGCGAGCCACCGCGAGACGGGCGGGAGGTGGAGAATCATTTGTCTTGACTTCGCCCTAGCAACGGCGGACACCACGGGACACCATGGGACACCACGGGACACCACGGGACACCGCGGGACACCGCCGGACGGGCGGGAGGGGGAGAATCATTTGTCTTGACCTCGCCCTGGCAACGGCGGGTTCATTCCTCAGCTTCGCCTCGCCCGCACGCACGACACGAATGAAACGAAACGATTTCCAGGTTGGGGGTCTCCGTTCGACTGCGATCTCACCCCCCAACCTCCAATTTCTATAGAAATATAAGAATATAAGTAAGTAGACGTATGTATGTATGCATCCACATTCGGCCTCCCTGGGAAACGCTTCTGGGCCCCGGCACCGCCAAACCCAAATCTCCGACGACGTGCCTGTTCAATGCTGGCGTTTTGCCTCGATTTCGGCCTCCGTGGCCATTCGTCCCATGGCCATCAAAAACAGATCTGGGGCGAAAAACTGTTCCTAGGGAAGGGGTCGGGAACTCCTGGGGCAGCGGACGGAAAGAGCCAGATCAGAGGATGGATGGGGAGCATCGACAGCGCCTGCACGCGACGTGCCTGCCCCTGTCGCGTGCCAAACAAAGTCGGCCGCCGCTTGTTCTCTCTCGCCACCCCAGACCCTGAGATCCGATGCTGCGGAATATTTCTCTGACCCGTCAAGCACTGCAAATCACGACAGCATGGCTGTTCCGCAGCGTGAAATGGAGGGGCGACTGGCCGTCGTCTGACTGCACGCGTCCGGATGCAGTACTTGCCAGCTGGGCCTTGAAACAAGGAGGCAAGACAGGCACCTCGAGGCGAGCCGCATGAAGAAAGGCGCAAGGCCCATGCGACACTCGACGCCCAACATCCAGCTTGTCTACCGACGGCCAAGGAGGAGAGCAGAGGACACAAGAAGAGAAAGCTGTGCTCGTGGGTGCAGAGGCCAGACGAGGGCGGCGCGCACAGAAGGGTCCCGCACGAGCAGCGCGAGGAAGGGAGGGGAAGCCGAGGCGAGGAAGGCGAGGAAGAGGAGCAAGGGGAAGAACGGACAGCCAAGACAGCGACGCAGTGCAACAAGAGAACGCCAGTCGAACAAGTACCTAAATCTCGGCGGTGCACAAACCCTTTCGTAAACCCTCCCTCAGTGCAGACGGCCCGGGACCGAAACCGACGGACCTGGACCAGCAAAACTGACGGCCGCAACGCCCTCTCGCGAACCGAAGACGGCCAATCCCTTGGTCGACGTGTCAGGGTATGAGGCCTGTCCACCTCCGAAAATCGTACATTCGATCGGGGCCCCGGCGCCCATCGCGAGGAGGAGGAGGAGGAGGAGGAGGAGGAGGAGGAGGAGGAGGAGGAGGAGGAGGAGGAGGGGGGGGAGGAGGAGGAGGAGGAGGAGGAGGAGGAGGAGGAGGAGGGAGGAGGAGGAGGTGAGGAGGAGGAGGAGGAGGAGGAGGAGAGGAGGAGGAGGAGGAGGAGGAGGAGGAGGAGGAGGAGGAGGAGGAGGAGGAAGACGGGAAGGGGGAGGAGGCATCGAGCGCTGTGGAGCCAGCGTGCGGCACCCAGAATTTGTGGCGCGGGGTCTGCGCGGGTCGAGCGGCCGAGGCGCGAGCCGGGGCTCGGCCCTCCCAGGTGCAGGCGGAGCGCTGCAGGCCAAGTCGCGGAGCAGGCGCACGGGAGAAGGAAGGGGAGGAGGGGAGGAGCACCCCCTGATCGCTGAGCGCGATGCGACAGTGGCTGCTTGCGTGCTTGGATTTGGCCACCTTGCGCCCACTTAGTCCGCGCACCAAAGGTCACTCTTGCCTTGGCTTACTCCTGCGTGCAGCCGAAGAAGTTGCCGCTCCGCTTCTGCCCGTCGTCCCCCCCCCCGCTTCTACCCCTCCTGCCGCTGTGCGCGGTCGCACAGAAACATACTAGTACTATATGTCCTCCTCGGAGGCGCGCGCCCGACCCGAACATATATAGCATACCAATTTTGTAGTATGCCCTTTCCCGAGCGGTGTGGCCAGAAAGCGCCCGCCGCGACACATATACTATAAGATTTCTCGGTGCGCGCGTAGCCCCTGGGGGGGGGGGGGGGCGACGCACATATAGTATAGATATGTTGGGGTGACGCCGACAATAACACGGAAGGCCTCGTCCGAAGGCTAGCTACAAATAGGAAGGCCGTCAGAACTCACACAAGAAAAACGGAACTACTCAGGAGTGGCACTGCCGTCAGAGACATGCCGATTGGCGTCGGAACTAGAGCGGGCATCGAAGGAGAGCCGATGCTAAGCCGAGGCCGCCGCCGGGGCAGCGCTCGGGTTCGGGGCCGAGGCTTGTGTCCGCAGGGCGGTCTGAGCTGGAGCCAGTCAGAGCTGGAGTCGGAGTACGCGCCACCACATTTTCCCACGTGGCCGTCAGGCGAAACTGCGGGGCAGCTCGCGTCAGATCCCCCCGCCCCGCGATTCGGGGGATGCAGCCCATCCTCCAGGAGGTGGCCCAATCGTATCCCCAGAGACCACGTGATCCATGCAACAACGACGGTTCTGTGTTCCCGTGGTCGCTGTCAATGAGCCATGAGATACGTGGCAGCGTCGGTTCTGTGCTCCCGTCGTCGCGCGATTAATGAAACATCGTAGAAAATAACGACCAGAGCCCCAGAACCCATGTTTCTGCAGCATTTTTCGAGACGGATCGATGTGTGATGGTCCTGGGGCACGAAACAAAGCAAATCGCCCGTTGTGTAAAGTCGAAGCGACCAGATCTGAAGGAAGAGCGGAACCAAGCGGCCGGCCGAGAAGGTCCCCATCGGCCGCGCTTGGTGACGATCGATCGGGGGATTCGCGGCCCCTGAGATCCGACGTCTGCCAAAAATTGGAACATCTTGAAAAATCACCACTGGAGACCTAAACCCCATCTTTCTGCGTCATTTTTCGAACGGATTCGATCCGTGAGCCCGACATTGGGCGAAGTTTTGCCTCACGTCGCAGCGCGGCAGCGGCGATCCGCACGCGCGTCGGGGCGAAGCCGGGACAACCACTGGGCGAAAACGCCCAGCTCGAAAAAATGGAATCGCCAGGATCTCAGGTCGGCAACACGTACAAGAGTGACCCGAGGCAAGAGTGTGACCTTTGGTGCGCAGCTCCGCGGGGGACGCGGGGGGGGGGGTCAAACATGGGCGCGCAGGCCGCTGCTGTCGCATCGCATTCGGCGATTGGGGCACCCCGTCGGGCCCGCACCAGAGGTCACGCCGGCGCAAGGTCACTCTTACGTCTAGTCGCTCAGGGGCGGCCGACAGATCGAGCCCCACTGCGCTCCCGGCTCGGCTCCACGCCCGGGCGCTCTCGGCTCAGCTCCCGCGGGGTCAGCGAGGTCCTCGCGGGCGGGGAGACGGCTGGCGCCTCGAGAGGAGCGGAGCGGCCAGCTCGTCGCCACGGTCTGGCCTCGAAGGGGCCGGCGGGTCCGGGGGCCCCCGCAGCAAGACATCGAGGCGGTGGATATGATGTCGGGTGTTGCTAGAAGTGCCCCTGTCCCAAGGTACCCCCAGCTCTTCGCTCCACTTTGGGGCCCCTGGGGCCCTCTGGGCCTCGAAAGGGGTGCTCTGGAGGCCGTCTGGGCCACCCCGAGAATCCTGGGGGGCACCTTGGGCCAGGGGCACTTCTAGCAGCACCCGGAGGTTGGCTCGTCGAGGCGGGAGCCACGGCCTGGCCTCTGCGAAGCCGGGGCGCCGCAGCTCCGCGGAGTCGGGCGCTCTCCCCGAAGAGCGCCCCGCCGAGAGGGCCCTCGCGGATCCGTGCCGCTGGAGAGGCGCGGCAGAGCAGAGGGGCCCAGGGCCTCGGGTTCTCCGGGATCGGGCAGGGGATCGACTGCGGAGTTGATATTCACTCAAGAATCGAGTTTCGTCGAAAAATCTTTGGCAGAAGGTACGTTGAGCGCTCCGAAGATTTACGAGGCATGACGCGCGGTTCTCACAAAGAAAACCCCAATCTGGGATAAATCAATGCTGTAATCCATCCGCTATTCGAAGGGCAGGGTTCCCGAGGTTTTTCCCAACCATCATGTGGTTTGGGGTCCTTCTTTGGAGGAAACAGCGCCCCGCGTCTCCTTCCTCTCCTCTCCTCTCCTCTCCTCCTCCTCCTCCCCCTCCCCCTGCTTGCCTCTGCCCTCCGCATGTTTCCGTTTCGGTATACCCAATACAGCGTTTCGTGGCCCCATCGGGAGCTCCACAAAAGGCCTCAGAGGCCGGGTTCGCATGCAGTTCCACCCTCATTTCGGCGCACCCCACACACGGTTCGTGGCCCCATAGGGAGCTCCACCGAAGGCCGCATTGGCAGGGTTCGCATGCAATTCTACCCTCATTTCAGCGCACCCCTCACACGGCTCGAAGCCCATAGGGAGCTCCACCGAAGGCCCCAGTGGCAGGGTTCGCATGCAGCTCCACCCCCATTTCGGCGCACACCTCACACAGTTCGCGGACCCATAGGGAGCTCCTCCGAAGGCCCCAGCGGCAGGGTTCGCATCCAGTTCCGCCCCGATGTCGGCGCACCCCACACACGGTTCGTGGCCCCATAGGGAGCTCCACCAAAGCACGGTTCGTGGCCCCATAGGGAGCTCCACCAAAGGCCTCAGTGGCAGGGTTCGCATGCAGTTCCACCCTCATCTCGGCGCACCCCTCACACGGTTCGTGACCTCATTGGGAGCTCCACCTAAGGCCCCAGTGGCAGGGTTCGCATGCAGTTCCACCCTCATTTCGGCGCCCCCCACACACACGGCTCGTAGCCCCATAGGGAGCTCCACCTAAGGCCCCAGTGGCAGGGTTCGCATGCAGTTCCACCCCCACTTCGGCGCACCCATCACAAGATTCGCGGCCCTATCGGGAGCTCCACCGAAGGCCCAAAAGGCAGGGTTCGCATGCAGTTCCCCGCCACATTTCGGCACACTCCTCACGCGTTTCGTGGCCCCACAGAGAGCTCCACCGAAGGCCCCAGTGGCAAGGGTCGCATGGGTGCCCCGCCCCATTTCGGCACACCCCTCACACGTTTTGCTGGCTTTGGACTGGGCGAAGGCATTTGACAGTGTGGCGCCCGATGCGTTATGCCTCTCGTTGGAGCGGTTCAGCGTTCCCACCCACTTCATACAAGTTGTGCGCGCCATATACACAGATCATACTTTCTCTGTCCGCGACGCGGGAAAAACATCGGAAGAGCATCCACAAGCTTTCGGCATCAGTCAGGGCTGTCCGCTCTCTCCGTTCTTGTTCGCAATATTGATGACCACATTGCTGCGCGATGCAATAAGTGAGGCGGATCCTTATCTGAAACAGAACATGCATGTGAACGAGCTTGCATAAACAGACCACACTGTTGCTAGCCACCTCCGGCGAATCAGCCAGTGCGCACACGCATGCCGTACAACGTATGGGGCAACGGTACAGTTTACAGCTTAATTGGCGCAAGCTAGAAGCCTCAGCTGTAGGAGCCGGCGCATGCCTTCTCCAGCTCGACGGCACCCTAATCCCACAGAAAGGGAGCATAGTTGATTTAGGTCGTTTGGTTAGCAACGATGGCAAAATAGGTTCAGAGTTGTCGCGCCGCCTAGAAGCTGCAGGCGCAGATTTTGACACATTGGCCAGGGTTTGGAGCCATTCGACTACTCACGCAGCGAAAAAAGATTCAGAGTTTTGAGTCTTGCGTTCTAAGTCAGCTGTTGTACTCTTTGCACACTTCGTACCTCAACAAGCACGAAATGTGTCGTTTGGACGCATCCCAGGCGCGATGTCTGCGCAAGTTTTTGCGCATTCCCCAGTCGTACATCAGCAGAGTCTCGAACGAAACCGTGCTTCAACGGGCTGGCGCCCGCCCGCTCAGCAGCACGCTCCTCCGTAGACAGCTTCTTTTTCTTAGTCACATCGCCAGAAAGCCAGATGACGACGCTGTGCGTTGCGCAGTGTTCCAGCCCTTTTCCTCCCTCCTCCTCCCCCCTCCCACCAAGAGAAAGAGAGGGCGACCAGGCGCAACGTGGTCCCAGGAAGGTTACAAGCACGCCTGCGAAGCAGCTGGGGTTGTGGAGGCCCTTCCGGCGCTCTTGCAGGACACCATTTCTTCGGCCACACCGTGGCGTGTCGCAGTCAGCAAGTATTGCGATACCACGTGATAGTGGCTATGTGCTCATGTGCGTTTCGTACTCAGCATTTTGCTGGTTTGTTTGCCTCACACGTTTCGTGGCACCACGGGGAGCTCCAACGAAGGCCCCAGTGGCAAAGTTCGCAAGCGGTTCCCTGCCCCATTCCGGCACACCCCTCACACGGCTCGTGGCCCCGTAGGGAGCTCCACCGAAGGCCCCAGTGGCAGGGTTCGCATGGCGACCCCGCCCGATTTCAGCACACCCCTCACACGTTTAATGGCCCCATAGGGAGCTCCACGGAAGCCCCCAGTGGCAGGGATCGCATGATGGCCCCGCCCCATTGCGGCACACTCCTCACACGTTTCGTGGCCCCATGGGGGACTCCGCCGAAGGCCCCAGTGGCAGAGTTCGCATGGCGGCCCCGCCTCATTTCGGCACACACCCCTCACACGCTTCGTGGCCCCTTGAAGAGCTTCACTGCAGGCCTCAGCGGCAGGGTTCGCATGGCGGCGTCGCCTCCACTTCGGCATAGAGCTCCACCGAAGGCCCCAGTGGCAGGGTTCGCATGCCTTCCTCTGCCTATTTCGGCACATCCCTCACCTGTTTCGTGGCCCATAGGGAGCTCCGCCGAAGGCCCCAGTGGCAGCGCCCGCATGCGTCCTCCTGCCCACTTCGGCACACCCCGCACACGCTTCGGGGTTTCTATCCGCGTTACCCCGTGCTCCATCCCTCTCGCGGGGCGCTGCCTGTGACGAGAAGGTGATAACCTACATTACTCGCAGCTGCATATGGTTGGGTCCTTCGCCATGCTATTTGTTTTGGCACACCCCAGAGAGCCTACAGAGCCCCCTTGATGAGGCTCCTACACGTCGCTCATTTTTCATCGTGCTCATCTCAAATTGTGTTAAGTGCTCCTGGTCCCCGAGTGGCCAGGAAGAGGCCCGGGATAGAACAATTGGAAACGAAAGGATCTTGGCCAAAAAAATCCTAGAACTTTCGAGGAATTGGAGATGAACAACGCGTACGTGTGGAAGGCCCCAGGGGCCCCAGTGGCGCGGAAGGAGGGGGACGCCCGGGGGCCAGGGGCGCCCGAGCGACGATCGAAGAGGCCCTTCCCTCCAATCTTGGCGCCGCATGGGACGCGCAAAGACTTACTACGGTGGGGGCACGTCCCCCTCTGAGGCGCGCGTCCGACCCGAACATATCGTAGACCCACCTTGTAACTAATTCGGCGGGGGTATTGGATAAGGAAACATTGGGAAGGAATCCAGGGGCCTGGAAGCCGGTGGAACCCCAATCCTGGATCGGCCATAGATATCACCGCCGCCCTCAGCCGGTAAGGAGTCCTCCAGGGTCTGAAGCCTCCTAGGCACATTCCGTAACCAATGCCGCCGCCGTAGTACTGCATGCCCTCTTCGGAGGCGCGCGTCCGACCCGAACATATAGTATACCCATCTTGTAGTATATCGTTTCCCGAGCGCTGTGGCCGGAAAGCGCCGGCAACGACGCATGCACTATAAGAGTTATCGGGGCGCGCGTCGCCCCTGGGGGGGGGCGACGCACACATAGCATGTTGGGGTGACGCCGATTGCAATTTTTTCACGACGGGCGTCTCCGCCCAGATTCGGGCCCTGGGGCCCTCGCAGATCGCTCCGCCTCGAGAGGTGACGCCGAAAAATGGGGTCTGGGGCTCCGGCCGTCATTTTTTACGAGGTCGCATTTTTTCCCAACGTCGGATCTCAAGGCTACCCATCTGTCGGAAGAAGTAGGTAGAAACATGAAGTAGGAAGGCGCTGAAAGTAGATTGGGTGACCGTCCGCCCCCTGTAGAGGACGGAAAAGGCGAAGCCATTCGATCCTTGGAAGTAGGTAGGCGCTCAAAGCAAATTGGAATCTGGGACTCCAAAGTACCTATTTCAACGACCGATGGACACTCGCGAGGGCATAACGACCTTACGCGGTGGCTTACGCGGGCCGCCGGCGTGGCACGCCGCATTGGGGACGAGGGCCCTCACGCGCGACCTTCCGCGGGCAGCTTACGCACGAATGTCGGCGCAGACGGCACCGTTTTTTCCGTCGCTCACCGGGGACAGCCTTCCTGGGATCAGACAGTACCGAATCTGGACATCGGGATGAATTGGAGTTTGCGTCGGATCGGGCGGCATCGGCACGGAGTCGCAATCGAATCGGCTCGGCTGCGCCAGCATGCACAACAGCGTTCATGCAAACACCAGAACGCAGTGGATCCTGGAACACCAGAATGGACCCGAACTGGGCCGACCAGAGCTGAGATCGACTCGGATCCATCGGATCGAGATGGACCTCGCATTCCCAGACCTCCGACGTGATGATTTTCCACAACGTGGACCCCAGGAGTTCTGGCCCTGTTCCCCAAGACCGGCGTCTCATCCTGAGCCGTTACTGACGAGGAGGAGGAGGAGGAGGAGGAGGAGGAGGAGGAGGAGGAGGAGGAGGTGGAGTAGGAGGAGGAGGAGGACGACGACGACGAGGAGGAGGAGGAGGAGGCCCAAGGGCGCTGCAGGGCCCAGAGAAGCCCAGAGGCCCTGAGGCCCGACGCAGCGACAAAACTGCGACGGCCGGAAGCTGCTGCTTAGCGTGCCGCGGCGGCGGCCCCTGGCGACGAGGCTGTGCCCTGCGGGCGGGTCGCGCGCTGCTGCGCTCCCGCGTGGCGGGAGGCCAGGAAACGGAGGGGGGCGCGGACGATGGCGGACGGGGACGCGGTTGGCGCGTCGCGCCGACGCGTGGTGGGCCAGAGCCCGGCGGCGCACGGCTTTCCCCGCCGGCAGCGCCGGCGGACGCGGGCGCGGGGGCCAACACGAGCGGCAGAGCGTGCCGGCTGCGGGCGCCGAGGCGGGCGGCCATGAGGAGGGCGGCCGCGGCAGAGGGGGCGGGAGCTGGAGGGGCCCAGCCGCCGAGAGTCGGCGAGTGAACCGTCCTCGTCGTCGTCGGCGTCGGCGTCGGCGTCGACGCCGTCGTCGGCGTCGGCGTCGGCGTCGTCGGCGTCGTCGTCGTCGGACATGGTCGCACATCGTGGCAAGTCGCCAGCGGCGATGTAGCCCCGCCATCCCGAGGCACTCCTCGGGCCGGACAGGTCTGCGAGGGCCGCCGGGCCTGAAAAAAAAATCCCAGAGATTCAACGTCCTGACTTCTTCCATGCGGGGCCCCAGGAAGCCCAGACCCCTTCCCAGACTCGAGTCGCCTCGCGCCCCATTCGGCTACGAAGGCTGGCCCCGGGCAAGGGGGGAGCGGCATACCAGAGCAGTGCGGTTGTCCAGCGCGAACGGCGGGTGAGGCAGGCACCTTGCTCTCAGTGGCGGGAGCCCTTCCCCGGGGCAGATTTTCCAGCCTGCGTAAGTTTGCCAGTCCTGGGGCCCAGCGAGGGCCCCCAGAGGCCGAAAACGACGAAACACCGCCGTCCGAATTTTCTCTGTGCGCTGGGTGTCTGGGACCTGGACGGCGACAAAGAACAGCCCCCACGGGCCCACGGGGCCCGCAGCTGGGCGAAGACGCCCGGCACGAAAGAACTGCAACGCCCAGATCTCGAGGGAGGAGGAGGCCCCCTGTTCACCCTGCCGCTCCCCCCTTGGCGGCGTGCACAATGGGTGGCGCGGGGGGGGGAGGCGGCCTTCCAAGAGGGCGGGCGGCGTCCGGGCCTCCTGGAGGGCGGGGGCCTCCTCGTAGGAGGGCCCGGAGGCTTCCTGAGGATGGCATCCTGCCGATGCAGAGGACGGGAGGGCTTCTAAAAATCCGGCCGGAAGCCCCCCAGCTCTGTAAGATGGCCTCTCCCTTCGCGCCGCCCCCCCTGTGCGCGCCGCCACCTCCTGGCGAGGCGGCGCTGCGGCCACAGTGATGTACCTGGCTGTGCACCTGCTGGGCATTTGGGCTCATGGTGAACTCCATATGGACTTTTGCACCTCGAAAATCCATCCGTCTTGTGATGCACCTTTTGCAGATTCAAGCCTCGAAAATCCGTCGAAACGGCATTTCAGGTTTCACCCTTTGCCCTCCACCCAAAGAGAATGCTCGGACCTGGCTGTGGTCATCCGGGATGGTGTGTTTGGACCTCCTTGGCCTCAGCGGGGAGGGCGTGCACGCCGTGCGAGGACCCCGGAGGGCCCTGGCCAGGCACGCTAGCGGTTTACAGACCCAGGCCTCCCACGTCGTGATTTTTGTTAGACTACAGAATTGATCTACCCGCAAACTCATCCCGTCGTCGAATATACGAAAACGCGTAGACCGCCCGTAGATCTACGAACATCATGTGCATTTGTTTGGTACACCCTTCGACAAAAAATCTGGGGTAAACCAATTCTGTAGACGATCCCCTAGTCGAAACGTGCCGGACCTCAGCATTTCCCACGGGACAGCCTTCTCATCCCGAGTCGTTCGTTGACAGCCCCAGGACCCGCTGGCGGCCTCCAGAATCCGAAAATTGGCACACACACACACACACAAAAAAAAAACTCCCGTCGAGTTTTTGCGCAACGACAGGACGTCTGGGGGCATTCCTGGTCCTTCGGTTTGCGGGTCATCACTCGGCTCCCCAGCGGCCGTTCGGGACGATTCGAGCATCCCTGGAACGCTCTGGACGAGGCGCAGCTGTTGGAAAGCATCCCGAGGCGAGAAAGCCGTGCAAGAACCGACGAAAACTTCAGCCGAAAACCACCGAGAACAGGGCATCAGTCGTGTACCGCAGGTTCGTGGCGTGACGACCGCTGCGCTGGTTCTTGACACCGCGTGGATCGTGAAACCTGGAACGCTCGGCGGCGTCTCGACCGCCAGATCCTTCCCTGTTGGCCGATCCTGGGCTGGTGGCGGCGTTCAACCTTGAACGCGCGCGGCGGGGTCGCCACCGCGTCGAAGCCGTCACGACCCCACGTAGACAGGTGCGTCCCACTACTCGCAGAGGAACTACTCGCAGATGGCCAGGATCCGCCGCCGGGGGCAGACGATCCACCACAGCGAGGCGACCATGTGTTTTTGCTTCTGGCGCTTGCGAGCCGGCACCGTGCGAGCAGTGGAACGCGCTCTGTGACCACAGATGGCCTCGGCGTGCCGGCGGCCGCGGGCGCCCAGTCCCCAGTCCTGCGGCTGCTGCCGGACAGCCGGGCGCTGGGGCCCTGCCTGGGCTCCGCCTTCCAGGTGCCTCGGGCGGGGGGGATCCAAACACGGCGGGCGAGCTCCGGGCGCTGCGCCCCGTCGCCCTGGCGTCGAGGCGCCGCACGTTCTCTGGAGGGGGATGCGGGAAGCGGAGGAAAAATGGGGGAGGAGGAGAAAGAAGGCGACGAACACGAAGACAAGACCTGTCGGCGCGGGAGGGTGGAAGCGGCCGAGTTTCGTCTGCGCCGCTTCAGCTGCGCCGACCGGAGAGATGCTCAAAAAGCGTGCGGCGTGTGCACGCCCTCGAGGACGGTGCCTTCCCAAAATTGGGGCTCTCGCCTGTGAGCTCTTCAAAAACGTCGGGGCCAACAGCTTCACGGCGTGTACACCCCTGCTTAGATGCAAAAAGATATCACGGTAAGGAAATGGCCTTCACTCCAAGCGTTTTCTTGAACAGCAGTCCAGGTCCAGAGGTAAGACAGTTCTACGATAAAAGCAACAACAAGAAGCCTAGGGCGCAGTACAGACTCCTGAGTCTCTTTAACGATATCTGGAGTCTATGTACGTTGACGCGTATTCTTATAATGTCTGATGGGTGTAGACAATATACGGATGGCGGCGGGAATCTGCTTCAAGAGCGGGCTTTCGGTGGACATTACTCTGGACGTCACTGCAGTACCACCTCGGAGTCGTTGATCCAAACACAAATTGCACTTGAAAACGGAGCTCTGGCCTTTCGAAGGAGGGAGGGTCACACGGTAAAGAGGGATGGTTGTAGCAGCTTCTCTGGTGAGAGTCCTTGGGAAGGGAGGGTGCGTCACATCATCGCTGCCAAACCCTGGGCTTACTCTGCTCCTCCAAATCTTCCTCCTCCTCCTCCTGCCAATCCTCCTCCTCCTCCTTCCCCTCCTCCTCCTTATCATCATCATCATCCTAATACTCCTCATACTTCTCCTCCTCCTCCTCCTCCTGCTCCTGCTCCTGCTCCTGCTCCTGCTCCACCTCCTTCTCGTCAGCATGATCGTCATCATCAGCAGCAGCAGCATCCTCAAATTCTTCATCATCAGCATAATCATCCCAACCATCACCATGATCATCATCAGCAGCAGCAGCAGCAGCAGCAACGTCAGCAGCATTGCCATCATCCAAATCGTCATCGTCATCATCAACCCCAAACATCATCAACAATACCATATCATCATCAACAACATCATGATCATCATTCTCAACAACAGCTTCATCATCGTCATCCGCATCATCAGCATCATCAACAAAAAAACAATAATCATGATCATGACGACCATCATCCTCATCAACCTCATCATCATCACCATCAGCATCAGCATCAGCATCATCATCATCAACATCATCATCATCAACATCATCATCATCATCATCATCATCATCATCCGAAGCAGCATCATCAACAGCAGCATAAACGTCAGCATCAGCATCAGAATCATGATGATAATCAGTATCATCAACGTCGTCGTTTTCGGCAGCATCGTCATCGTCAGCATCAGCATCATCAGCTTCATCATAATCCTCAACAACATCATCCTCAGCAGCATCAGCATCAGCATCATCACCGTCATAATGAACATCATCATCATCACCCACATCATCATTAGCATCATCATCATCATCATCATCATCATCATCATCATCATCATCATCATCATCATCATCGGCACCATCATACCTCTCACCTCCACCGTCAACCCAGTGCAGACGTTTCCGCGCGCGCTCGAGCCTGCGTCGAGAGCCCCCAGGTAATGGGCGAGCTGCTCGAAATACTGCTGGCGGAAATTGATATCGATGTCGTTGTGCCCACCGTCGGTCACCCACCTGAGGGCAGGCCAATGGCACGCACGATATCTACGCGTGATCCGCGCTCGAACGGGCAGTCCCAATCGCCAACCGCCAACGAAATGGCCTCCTGGTCATCATCATCATCATCATCATCATCATCATCATCATCATCATCATCATCATCATCATCATCATCATCATCATGAGCATCATCATCATGATCATCACCATCATCATCAGCATCGTCATCGTCATCGTCAGCATCATCATCATCAGAATCAGCACCAGCATCAGCCTCATCGTCAGCATCATCATCAGCATCGCCATCGTCATCGTTAGCATCATCATCATCGTCAGCATCAGCATCAGCCTTATCGTCAGCATCATCATCATCATAATTATTGTCATCATCATCCGCAGCATCATCTTCATCGCTATCATCAGTATCAGCATCATCAGCATCATCATTATCAGCAGCATGACCATCATCATCAGCATCAGAATCATCAGCATTATCATCGTTATCAGTATCAGCATCATCAGCATCATCATCGTTATCATGACAATCATCGTCATCATCATCATAAGCGTCATCATCAGCATCATCATCAGCATCAGCATCAGCATCATCACCTCTATCTTGAGAATCATCATCCTTGGCAGGAGCAGCCGCATTCAAAAAATAGTACTAGTAGTATATAACTTATAAGAACACTGATAACTGTAGTGGCAATAACAACAACAATAATACTAACAATAATAATGATAAGAACAATGAGATGAATCATCATGGCGAGGCTCTTCCGCTTAAAGCTCCGCGGGACGCGCACAGCTTAATTGGCAGAGAAATGGCGGAAGAAAGCGGGGCCTCACGCGGCCAGACGCGGGCGAAGCCCGGGGATCAGGCGGTGCCGATGTCCAGCAACACATGTTTCTCCTAAACCAACAGCGGCCGCTGTTTTGCAGGCGGCCTTCTGTCTCAAACTTGGACAGCGACAACGGCGACGGAGACAGCGAACCCCGCTCAGAATGAGCAAGAGCTGTTGGTGAACGTCTTCTTATCCGGCGTTTCGACATTGGGCGGAATGGGGGAGGAGGGGGTCTGCCTCCGGACCGCTGCTTAGCGCGACTTATGGGGAGACTCCACCTGCTCAAACCAGGCGCCAAAAACAGCCAAGATCCACTCCAAAGGAGGGGAGGGGGTGTGCTCGCGCCATATTTGACATCCTACCTCTCCCACACATCCCTTCCCATTGCGCTAAGTTTTCCCTCTATCCACCGACGGCTGTTACAGCAGACCTGGTACCCCATAAAAGAACCCTTACCATGTGATGCGCAATCAGTAAAGGTGAGCTGCGTACATTGGCGGAGGTAGCGGATGAGCAGGATAAGAAGAGGAGGAGGAGAAGGTGGTGGTGGCGACTACATGAGGGAAGCAAGCCCCGAGCAGAGCAACACGCACCACGACCACGACAACGCACGACGCCAACAACGACGACGAAGAAGACGAAGAAGACGAAGAAGACGAGCTGCGCAGACGATCCGAGCCGCAGCACGGCTTAGGGAAAGGGCCCACCCTGCAGGTCTGGGTAAACACCACATCGTTGAGCGGTGACGCGGCCTCCCGTGAGCACAGGCCGGCCAGACAGCTCGGGTTTGCACCCTCATAGCGGACCTGGAACCCCTACCAGAACCCCATCATGTTATGCGCAGTCAGGAGACGGGAGCTGCGCACATTGGCAGAGGTGGCGGATGAGCAGGAAAAAGAAGAGGGGAGGAGGACGAGGAGGGGGGGGAGAAGGACGAAGAAGGAAGGCAGGAGACGAGGAACAGCAGCAGTATGAGCAAGAGCGGAAGTGGGAGGAGCTGGAGGCGCAGGATGACCAGGGGAAGGCGGGGGAGAGGAAAGGAGCGGGGCGGCAACGACGAGGAAGGACCCCGATCTAAAAAAGTGGCCCGCGCTGGGGCGAGAGCGCCATTCTCAACGACGGGAAGAAAGTAACGAGCCTACAATGAGGCCCACGCTGCAGCAGGAGTACCATTCAGAAACACCGAGAACGTTCCGATTCACCAAAACAGCGCTGCGAAAAATACAACCATCTGCAAGTGAGAATGCCGCAAGGCATGTGAGACGAATTACGTGAAGCTGCCTATGGAGCCACGAGACGTTTGAGGGGTGTGCCGAAATATGCACGGCAGTGGCATGCGGACCCTTCCACTGGGGCCGTCGGTGGAGCTCCCCATGGGGCCATGAAACGCGTGAGGGGTGTGCCGACATGGGCGGCGGTGGCGCGCGGACCGTGGCAATTGGACCTTCGGTGGAGCTCCCTATGGGGCCACGAAGCGTGTGAGGGGTGTGCCGAAATAGGTTCGGCGGTCGCACGCGGACCCTCCCACTGGGACTTCGGTGAAGCTGCCTATGGGGCCACGAGGCGTGTGAGGAGTGTGCCCACACGGGTGCGATGGTCAAACGCGGACCCTAGGCCCTAGGCGTAAGAGAGGTGTGCCGAAAGGGGTGCGGCGGTCGCACGCGGACCCTGGCAATTAGGCCTTTGGTGGAGCTCAATCTTTGGGGGCACAACAAACGCGAGGGGGTTGCCGAAAGTGGCTGCGGCGATGGCGTGTCGACCCTGGCAATCGGACCTTCGTTGGAGCTCCCCATGAGGCCACGACGCGTGTGAGGGGCGTGCCGAAATTGGGCGGCGATGGCACGCGGGCCCTGGCAATGGGGACCCTGTGGGGCCACGAAGCGTGGGAGGGGTGTGCCGAGGTGGGCATGCGGACAGCAGAGGCAGGGATGGGAGGAGGGAGGAGAGAGGAGGCGAGGTAGAGCGAGGCACAGTCTTTTTTGAAAACGAGGACCCAACTCCAAAGAAATGTTGGGAAAACTGCGCGGAAGCAGAGGCATGGTTGTGAGGATGGAGGAGGGAGGAGGAGGAGGAGGAGGAGGAGGAGGAGGAGGAGGAGGAGGAGGTGGAGGTGGAGGAGGAGGAGGACGACGACGACAACGACGAGGAAGAGGAGGTGAGGAGGAGGAGGAGGAGAGGAAGGGAGAGAAAAGGAACGGAGAGGAGAGGAGAGGAGAGGAGAGGAGAGGAGACGCGGGGCGCTGTCTCTTCAAAGCGAAGACAAAACACCACCCGATCGTTAGAGGAAACATTGTAAATATCAAATAAAGAAACTGTTGGTGTACAACAAGCATGCACGGAGAGGGCGGAATAATTCAAGGACATAGTCGGGGGAGACAGGAAGTATTTCTTTTTGGACAGTTATCGATGAATCGGATCCTGCCATCTTCGGGCCCACAGGGCACTCTACGGGATGAAAACGCGCCCTGGCGACCTGAAAAAAAAACATGTTCGGAATGAGAAGCTGGTCCTGGGGAAAGCCCCAGCCAGTTTCCACAGCCCTGTGCGAAAGTTAAGTTGTGCTGCTGGGACCACCCCGCCCCCCGTTCCAATGCTGATGGCGTGGTCGGCGGACGTGAATCAAAATGGGTGGTGCACAAACCGTGTCCATTCCCAGTAGCGTTTCGCTCGAGGGTTTCAACAAGGGTCAATAGGCAAGCGCGTTCCACGACTCGCAAATGGCCTGGATCCGCCGTGGGGGATTTACGATATATTACACCGAGGTGAACGTGTTGTTCCTAACGTTTGCGAGCAGGCAGTGTGCGAATAGTGGAACGCGCTAGGGGAGTCGAAGTTTCCCCTCAAAGGGAGAGGCGTCTCACTTGCCCAGCGGCGGGCCTGGATTCTGCCAACAGCGCTCGCGGGCGATGGCGTTCTGGCTCAATCTGGTCCAGGGAAGCCACTCGCTATGGCGTCATGGCGCTCACGATGGTGTTCTGGTGTGTGTTTTCACGTGTCGACGCAATCCAAGGAAATATCTCACATGGTGGTACCAAACTGGTACCATGCGTTTGTACTTGTCCACGCCACCCAAGAGGGTAACTCACATGGCGGTCGTGGGCTGGACAAAAGGTGCTTCAACTTGTCCAGACCACCCAAGGGGGTATCTAGCATGAACGTGGCAAATCCACCAAAGGAGAAATCTAACATGGTGGTCCAGGTCACCCCAATAAGGTATCTAACACAGGTTCCAAACTGGAACCGCGTCGTTTAACGTGTTCAGCCCACCCACGACGGTATCTAACATGGTGGCACCGAAATAGAAATACGTCGTTGTACGTACCCAAACCATCCGGAGGGAATCGAAAATGGCAGCTCCGAGTTAGACCCACGCGTTTTACGTGTCCAGTCCACCCACAAGGGTATCTAACATGGTGGCCCCGAGCTGGAACCGTGTGCTTTGACGTGTCCAGGCGACCCAAGGGGCGCATCTGACATGGTGGTCCCAATCTGGAACCACATGTTTTACTTGTCCAGGCGACCCAGGGAGGTATCTAACATGGTGGCCCCGAACGAAAACCACGTTTTTCTTACATACCCAAGGGGGTATTTACCATGGTGGTCCAAAGCACGAACCACGTGTTTGAACGTGTCCGCCCACCCAGGGAAAAATTTCACATGGTGGTCCCGCTGGAAGCATATGTTTTCACGTGTCCCAGCCACCCACTGGCCGTATTCAACATGGTGGCCCCGAATTGGAATCGCGTGTTTTTACGTGTTCAGCCTACCCAGGGGGTCTCTTACATGGTGGCCTCGCACTCAAACCACGTGGGGTATCGAACATGGTTACCACGAGTTGGAACCACGTGTTGTTACGTGTCCAGGCCACCCAGGGGGGGTATCTTACATGATGGCCTCGCACTGAAACCACGTGGGGCATGTAACATGGTTACCACGAATTGGAACCACGTGTTTTTACGTGTCCAGGTCACCCACGGTGGCATCTAACTTGGAAGCCCATCCGGACCAGCTGGCAACAGCAGCGGGGAAGAACACGAGGTCCACCACGCGCACCTCAGGCACTGGGGAGCGGTTTTGCCCAGGGGGAGGAGTGAAAGAGGGAACAGACAAACGAACGCTTCGAAGAGCCGCTGGATGAGGGAGAAGGAGAAGTTGAGGACGGGGGACGCGACAGCCCTCTCCTTGGGCACGCGCTACGAGGATACAGCTGATGAGGGCGATGCTGGGAGTAAGGATAACGAGGATACGGGGGATCAACGGGGAAGATGTAGAGAGAATAACCACGAGAAGACGGTGGCGGAAAAAAGTAAACATGAGGAAGAGGAGGAATCAAGGGTGGCACGACGAAGACGAGGAAGCAATGACTGCATACTCCGCGTGCATATTTCGGCCGTATTCACATAGACTCCATTCGCGTCATTGACTGAAGCCTGACTCCGCCAATCAAGGCTGTCAATCATTCAACACTCGGAACTCTGCGTCTGCCGGCTACGAGCAAGCAAGCGTAGCCGATCTCGCCTGGTTCACAGGACGAACCAATCTTCGGTCACGCGGATACTGTCGCAAGCAGACACCAAATGTGACCGGTTCGTGCTCATCCTCTCGCTCGGCACGAATATGATTCGCCCCAGCTCGACGACGGCCTCTGTTTTGCCATCCCCTGTTTCGCCACAGCTTGCTGTGTCATACGCGCGCCCACAGGCACGTTCGAGCACGCAGTGCATCCTTCGGCGCCCTCCTGACTGACCCCCCGTCGTAGCACGAGTCGTCCTCGGCAGTGGTTTTCTTCGCGTTGTACTTCTGTGTAAAAGATACATTAGCTCTCGAAGCCTTCGCTGAGAAAGTGAATCTCGATGACCATGGCGGCAGCCACCCCAGGACTAGCGCCCAAGGCCCGAGCCTGACATGCCCTCCGCCTGTTGAGGATGGCGAAGTACTTCGTATCAGATTGAAGGCTGTTTTACAAAAACTGCTGCCAAACTTTATCGACAGGGCGGGGCGCGCACCCGAGGGCAGGCTGACCTCAAGAAATATGTGACCGTACACATGCCAGCAAAGATCATCACGTAGAACGTAAAAACCGTGGCCATTAAGGGATATGCAGACTCCAACGGGGAGCTGGTCCCTCTCCTGAGGGGCAGCCGTCGTTCTGGCCCCTGGTCTGGCTAAGAACGACTCCGTCCAGGGGCCAGGCACCGACGGCATCACTTGAAGACGCACGTTGCGCCCATGCCCTCGCGACCATGTTCCCGCGACCGCGGTGCCGTTCCGCCTGCGGCGTCCGTGCTCTCGTGGCCACGGTGCTGCTCCGCCCGTGCTGTAGCGGACGGCTCTCGCGCCACTCCGCTCGGACGGCAGAAGTGCTCTCGAGCGTGCTCGAAGACTACTCCAGATTTCGTAATAAAAGGGAGGGGGTCCCAACCCTCCCAGCCGAGAAGTTTTAGACCCCCCCAGACCATCCATCAAAGGGCGGCCCTTTGCCCAGACCCCCCCGAACCCTCCAAGACAGCTCAAATTAGACCCCCCCCCCGAATGTGACCCCCCCAACTTTGTTATGGAATCCGGAGTATCTTCCGTTCATCACGCCCGTCATCCTCACCACCGCCCCCTCCCCGCAGCAGCAGCAGCGGCAGTACGGGCAGGAGCAGCAGCGACACCGCTCCGCACCAGGGGCTTCATCCCCTATCAGCAGCATCATCGTGCGGCGGCAGCCTCCACACCGTGGCTGCTGTCAGAGTGCTTGGCTGGGGTAGGAAGGCACCAACTATACACCGACACCGATCCTGGCCCAGGATCACCCTGGGCCCAGGATCAGTGTATACGCCCTCCTGCCTTGCGCAAGAAGGCATATACACCGATCCTGGGACCAGGGTGATCCTGGGCCAGGATCGGTGTTGGTGTATAGTTGGTGCCCTCCGATGCGGTAATTTCACGGGTGGTAGGACGCGCTTCCTTCGTAGCGAGGCGGAGGATGAGGGTCCCATCGGACCAGGGCGCCGCGGAGACAGCACGGCGGGCACACACATGCTGCCTCCTCTGCTGAACTCTCGCCTGGCGCCTGGGTGTCCTTGCCAGGAGTCGGCTTCGGCCTGGGGAGCACCGCACCAGGCATGGGGTCGAGGGCCGTGGTCGTGATTTCCCGCTGCGCCGTCCTTCTCTCACGACACTGCCTGCCTGAAATAACCGGGGGGAGGAGAAGGAGGTAAAGAAGAGGAGAGAAAACTATGCAGGCGAAGGACACAGCCAGATGCAGTTGTGAATATCGCGTTGTGGGTACCGCTTTCGGTGGAGCTCATGAGGCCACGAAACGCATGAGGTGTGGGTCGTAATGGGTGGGGTAGACGCATGCGGCCGCGGCCACTGGGGTGTTCGGTGGAGCTCGCGAGGAGGCCACGAAACGCTGTATTGGGTGGGGGAGACGCATGCGCCCGCGGTGACTGATGGGGCAACGAAAAGCTGTACTGGGTGGGGGACATGCATTCGGCCGCTGCGACAGGGGCCTGCGGTGGGGAGCCCTGTGGAGCCACGATGCGCTGTACTGGGTGGGGGAGACACATGCGGCCGCGGGCACTGGGGCATTCGGTCAAATTCCCAATGGGGCCACGAAACGGTGTATTCGACGGGGGGGACGCATACGAACGTCGCAACTGGGGCCTTCGGTGGAACTCACGCTGGGGTCACGAAGCGCGGTGCTGGGTGGGGGAGACGCATGCGAACGTCGCGTCTGGCGCCTTCGGTGCTCCCTCTGGGGTCACGAAGCGCTGTACTGGGTGGCGGAGACGCATGCGAACGTCGTCTCTGGGGACTTCGGTGGAGCTCCATATGGGGCCATGAAACGTGGGCGGGGAACCGCATGCGAACGTCGCCGTTGGGGCCTTCGGTGTGGCTCCCAATGGGGTCACGCAATGCGGTACCAGATGGGGAAAACGCATGCGAACGTCGCCACTGGGGCCTCCGGAGAGCTCCAGATGGGGCCACGAAACACGGTACTGGCTAGGGCAAACGCATGCGAACGTCGCCTCTGGGGCCTTTGGTGGAGCTCCCTGTGAGGCCACGAGACGCTATACTACGGAGGAAGCCACAGGCGACTACGGAGACACTAAATGCTCCACGGGTGGGGGACCGCATGCGAACGCCGCCTGTGGGGCCGTCGGTGAGGCTCCCTACGGGGCCACGAAACGTGTGAGAGTTGTACCAAAACTATGAAGGGGAACCGCATACCAACGTCGCAACTGGGACCTTCGGTGGAGCTCACTATGGGGCTACGAAACGCTGTATTGGGTAGGGGAGACGCATGCGAACGTCGCCTCTGGTGCCTTCGGTGGAGCTCCCTCTGGGGTCACGAAGCGCTGTACTGGGTGGGGGAGACGCATACGAACGTCGTCTTTGGGGACTGCGGTTGAGCTCCATATGGGGCCATGAACCGTGCGAAGGGTGTGCCGACATGGGCGGGGAACCGCATGGCCTTTGGAGACTTAGGTATGGTTCCCAACGAGGTCACGAAAGGTGGTACCGGGTGGGGTAGACGCATGCGAGCGTCGCCACTGGGGCCTTCGGTGGAGCTCCCTGTGAGGCCACGAGACGCTATACTAGGGAGGAAGCCACAGGCGAAAGTCGAGCGGGGGCCTTCGGTGGAGCACCCTATGGAGACACGAAACGCTGTACGGGTGAGGGGAACGCATACGAACGCCGCCTGTGGGGCTCTCGGTGAGGCCCCCTATGGGCCCACGAAACGCGTGAGCGTTGTACCGAAATCATTTGTTTAAGGAGAACCCCATACGAACGTCGCAACTGAGACCTTCGGTGAAGCTCTCTTTGGGGCCACGAAACGCTGTATTGGGTAGGGGAGACGCATGCGAACGTTTCCCTTCGGTCCTTCGGTGGAGCTCCCTCTGGGGTCACGAAACGGAGGTAGTGAGTGAGGAACGCGGGCGCTGTCTCGTCTAAGCAAGGGTCCAGCATCACAGGATGCGTGGAAAACGAAGAAAAAGAAAAAGGGAGAGGATGAGAAGAAAGGAGAAAGAGGAGGAGGAGAAGAAGGAGAATAAGGGTGAAGAGGAGCAAGGACAGAGGAGGAGGAAGAGGAGAAGGAGGAGGGGGAGCAAGACAGGGAGAAGGAAAGTAGGACGGGACGGGGCTAGACGCTCGCATACCCGCCTGGGGCAAGGTCCCTGTAGAGACGTGGCGGTGGCGCCACGGAGCAGAACACTCGAGCTGAAACTGAGCCAAACGTGAGAAGCCAGCGCGGGCAAGATGCAGGATCGGATCGGGGACGGTCGCATGGCAGGCGCGCACAAGGAGGTGGCGCGAGGGGCGCGGCTTCCTAACAAGGCGGGGGAGCTCCGAAGACGGCGGGCGGCTTCCAAAGCCCCGCGGGCGTCTAAGAAGTCCTCCCAGAAGCCTCCAGACCCTTCCGGGCTCCGCCCCCCCCCCCCCCCCCCCCTTGTGCGCGCCGCCAAAGAGCAGCAGGAGCAGCGGGAGCAGCGGGAGGCAGGAGCAGCGGGAGCAAGCTGATGCCGAAGAGTGCACAGGGGGTGGGGCCACCACGGCGGGTAGGCGAACTCCTCGGGGCACGCCTCGTACAGGGCCAACCCGTGGCTGAACGGTATCTCGATATCGTTCGTGCCGTGCATCACGAAAACTGGCGCCGTCACGGCCTTCAGCCGAGCGGCGTTCTTGAAAACATCGAACGAATAATCCTTGTTTACCTCTAATATAACCCCAAGGCCACTGGTCATGCCACTGTGAAGGATTACACCGCCAACCTTGGCGATCGAGGCCAAGTACGTCGACGGCACCGTCCCGATGGACTGGCCGTAACAAACTATGTGCTCACCAGGAATACCACAACGTGTTGTGAGGTGGTCATAAGCAGCTTCGACATCAGCATAGATGTCTGCCTCGCTAGGCGTACCCGTGCATTCACCGTAGCCACTGTACTCGTATGCGAAGACATTTACATGCAACCTTGCGCAGAGCTCCACCACTCGACGAAACATTATGCCAATGTCGGTGCTGTTCGCATGGCTGAACAAAAGCGTTCTGCGTAGCCTGCACGCACTAGTGTGACGCATGTGGAACCCCTGGATACTGTTACCGCGACGGGTCTGCATGGTGACGGCCTCAACTGTAATTCCATCGGCAGTGTAGTCTGGCATCGGCTGCAGGCCATAATCACTCTCGATCAAGTAGATGACACTCTCCTGCGTGATGTGGTACCCAGGAGGCCGCGGGGGCAGGAAGGATATCTTGTCCACAACCCGCTCTATGATGCCGCATGGGGCCAGCGACGCACAGCCAATACAGCAGATGGCCGCGTCGCAACCGGAGCAGGTCTGGCGGATCGATGTGAGTATCGAGGCCATCGCGCTGCAGCCAGCAGCACCACAGGAGCTCGCCGACGGCCCCCTGCGGTCCTCAGGGGCCACCCGGCTGGGCGCACTGCGGAGTGGTCGCCCCGCTCGGCATGGCTGCGCCTGGGCCAGAGGTGCCTACGGCCGCGTAGCGAAGCGCCCTCGCTCGCTCCGTCTTCCTGCGTCTCCCCCATCCCTCCCCCCTCCCTAAGCTAAAGCTGGACATGCTCGCCCCCGTGATGCGAAGGCCAGAGGACGTGGCTAGTAGTGCCCGCATGGCCTCGGATTCGCCTTTAGCTTCACTTCCACCTGTAAGGTTCAGCTTGACTTGGAGCGCTGACTCTACAAGTACCTGAGCTCATCCTAGGCTGGCGTCGCATGGCCTCGGATATCCGAAACCGTGTTCATTGGCAAACTTGCGGGTTGTTTTAAAGGTGGTCTGCTGGCGCCAGGCCAGGGCGCCGTGCACACGCCTATGTTTTTCTTCCCAACCTTCCTTGGTGGGGTATTTGTTCGGCATAGAGCACTGTCACTGTGGTCGCGTCCCTTCTCCCGCCCCCCTCCCGCCTCCGCTCGCCTCCTCCCGCCCTCTTTTTGCCGTCGCCGGGGGCTGCGATCTGCGGAACTGTCGCCGCTTTCGAGGGCTGCTGGTGGGTTCAGCGGAAAGAGGCACCGCGCAGATCTGAGCAAGACCTTGCCGTGCCTGGGGGGCTGCGGTCTGCGAAACTGTCGCCAGTTTCGCGGGCTGCTGGTGGGCCCAGCGGAGTGAGGAGCCGCGCCGATCTGAGCAAGACATCGCTGTGCCCGGGGGGCTGCTGTCTGCGGAACTGTCGCCGCCGTCGAGGGCTGCTGGTGGGCCCAGCGTGGGGAGGCACGGCGCAGATCTGAGCGAGACCTCGCCGTCCCTGGGGGGCCGCGATCTGCGAAACTGTCGCCACTTTCGAGGGCAGCTGGTGGGCACAGCGGAGTGAGGCACCTCGCCGATCTGAGCAATACCTCGCCGTGCCTGTGGGGCTGCCGTCTGCGAAACTGCTGCCACTTTCAAGAGCTGCTGGTGGGACCAGCGGAGGGGAGCACCGCGCAGATCTCAGCAAGACCTCGCCGTGCCTTGGAGCCTGCGATCTGCGAAACAGTCGCCATTTTCGAGGGCGGCTGGTGGGCCCAGCAGGGTGCGGCACCGCGCAGATCTGAGCAAGATCTTGCCGTGCCCGGGCGGCGGCGATTTGCAAAACTGCTGCCCCTTTCGAGGGCATGTGGTGGGTCCAGCCGAGTGAGGCACCGCGCAGATCTGAGCAAGACTTCGCCGTGCGAGGAGTGCTGCGATCCGCGAAACTGTCGCTGCTTTCGAGGGCTTTGGTTGGCCCATCGGAGTGAGGCACCCCGCAGATCTCAGCAAGACCTCGCTGTGCTGGGGGGGGCTGCGATCTGTGAAAGTGTTGCCACTTTCGAGGGCAGGTGGTGGGTCAAGCAGAGTGAGGCATGGCGCGGATCTGAGCAAGACCTCGCCGTGCCTGGGGGGCTGCAATCTGCGAAACTGTCGCCACTTTCGAGGGCGGCTGGTGGGCCCAGCGGAGTGAGGCGCCGCGCAGATCTGAGCAAGACCTCGCCGTGCCTGGTGGGCTACCATTTGCGAAGCCGCCGCCACTTTTGAGGGCTGCGTGGGGGGCCTGCGTAGCGATTTACAACATTGTCGCCACTTTCGAAGGCTGCTGGCCCGGCAGAGGGAGGCACGCGCAGATCTGAGCAATACCTCGCCGTGCCTGAGTGGCTGCGCTCTGCGAAATTGCCGCCACTGTCGAGGGTTTCTGATGGATTCTGCAGGGAGTGAGGCGCCGCGCAGATCTGAGCGGGACCTCGCCGTGCCTGGGGGGCTGCGACATGCGAAAGTGTCGCAACTTTGGAGGTCTGCTGGTGGGTCCAGCGGGGTGAGGCGCTGCGCAGATCTCAGTGGGACCTCATCGCCCTTGGGGGGCTGCGATTTGCAAAACCGTCGCAGCTTCCGATGGCTGCTGGCGGGTCCAGCAGAGCAAGGCACGAGGGAGATCTGAGGGAGACATTGCAATCCTGGGGGGCGGCGAGCCTCACAAATGCTGCTTGCAGAAGTATATGCGCCCCTGTCACGTCCACACCTCCGCGTAACGTTTCCCAATCTACTCCTGCCCTGCCTTGCGCAGGGGGCGGTTACGTCGCCAGAGTAGTTGTTTCTTTGGGAGGGCCACGGCGCGCGCCCCCCCCTGCACGCCCAATCTCTGCGTGCGCCAGGACCCAGCGTCCGCACAGGGGCCGCTGCTCTGCGCGCCCCCTTCTGGTTTTACTGGGCAGTCCGGGCTTCTGCTCGCGACGTCGCCCCAGCAGGCAGCTGCGAAGCAGACCCCTCGCTGCGGACAGGTTGCCGCGAGCAAGTTCGCCCGATGAGCCCATGGACGGTGGTCGGCCGGTGAGGCGCGAGCTGACCAGTTCCTTTGTCGGTGCACCTCTGTGGTGGTCGAGGCAGTTCTGAACGAAAAGGTGAGCTGGCTCGGGCCCCTGGGGATTCTTGGGGCCTTCTTTCTGGGGCTTCCTTGGACCGTTGGGGGGCTCCCTCTTGAGGCGGTCTGGGCTCCACTGCAGGGCTTCCGGGGCTTTCTTGCTCGGCGTGTTCCCCCTGTGAGGCTTGTAGGGCTGTTGGGGGTCGGTCTTGGCCTGCTGTGGGCCGTCTGGGCCACGTTGGCGCCTGAAGGGGCAAGTATGTATATTTCTTCTGTCGTGGGTCACTTTCTGGTGCCCCTTTCCCAACCTCCGACTGAGGCCTCGCTGCCTTGAGTTCCAACCTGGCCCTACACAGCTGTCCTCAATTCCGCTAACCAGTCGCCCAGCGCCCGTCCCCCTGGTCATCTTGCGCTCTGCCAGCGCCAAGCGCGACTCAGCCCTGCCCAGTGCCTCCCGTGCATCGAAAACGAAGTTGCCGATCTATCCCCCCCTCTTCGCAGCCGAGCAAGTACACAAGGAAAGGCCAAGTCGCAGAAGACAGCGCGACGAGGGCACAATGAAGATTATGCCAAGGGCCTGGTGCAGGCAACGCAGGGCCGCAACTGGGCCAGCAAGATTCCGCGCACACCTAGACAGAACAGGGAGCACAGGACAAGGGAAAGGGACGGGGTAAGGAGAGCGGACGGGCGCCCCACAGCAGAATCAGGCGCTTCGGGTGCGTGCCACGCGCCCGACACGCACGCACGCACGCACAGCGAGTGGTGGGTGTACAAAGACGCCTGGTCCGATCAGTTCGGCGCCCCAAAGCTGCGAAGCGACTTTGTCGGGCTCGCGCCACGAGCCTGGCACGCGCGCGCCTGGCGAGAAGTCCGCTCACATCTCCATTACATCCTTATCTTCTGCTGAAGTCTCGTTTCAGGGGTGGGTATAACAAACCACGCTGCTTCCATCGCGCCGTCCTGCCAATGGGCTCGCGACCCTTCTTTTTCTTCCTCCGCCGACGGGGCTTCTTGTAGATTCGACTCTTTAGCCGTTGGCCTATATGCACAGGTGTCCAGCCTATTCTTTTACGATCTCCGTCGCGACGCGCCGCTTCGTTTTTGACTCTGCCGCGTGGCCCTGGACCCCAGAGGGGGAACGTGCCTCTATGCGTGCAGGGTTTTCGACGGAGCGTGGGCGCAGCTACCCAACGAAGAGGTCGAGAGGATTGCGATACCGCTCTCCCCCCAGTCAGGCGACGGCCGCAGCGCGTCGCTTGTGGCAGCACCCGGGGACTTCAGCCACGACTCGCCATCACCGCCGCTCGCGCGCGCATCCACTCACTTGCTTGGGACTTCTCAGCAAGCTTCGGCGCCTGATGCGTCCAATACGTTTTCACGTCGCCCACGCGCCGGTGGGGGCACCAGCAGTTGGCCTCGGAGCCACCGCTGGGTTCGCCTCGTGGAAACACCCGGTGGAAACACCCGGAGTGGCAGCGCCAGAGAAACGTCACCCGACAAAGCTTTTTCGCGCCTTCGCCGCTGGGGAGATTTCATGTTCCCCAATTTTGTCTCCGTCTCTCCACACGTGCGTGTCATTGAAGATCGCAGTGGGCGGACATCTCAGCGAAGGGCCCCTGAGCAGGATCACGTCCAGTTTCCCAGTAGGGACCATAGCCGCAGCCTCTCAGAGGCGCTCCGGGCAATGTTTCCCGCGGCGCGATATTGCATCGCAGGCGTTGCCCTCAGCCAGTGATCTGGCCGAGTTTCGAGACCAGGTTGGAACTTGCACGACCCAATAGTTGTTGGGCCTTGCTGTGCTGACAGCAACACTACGGCAGCTTGCCTTTGTTGGCGCTTGGATCGCTGAACGGATTTACGGAACAACAGCTCCGCGAGGACTTCAAGACGCTTTGTGGTCAGTTTCAAGCAACTACTGCCAACCTGCACTCCCAAAACGCAACACTGACGTCTGAATTGCATGGCCAGCTCAGTGGTGCTGAGAGGGCTATCGCTCAACGTCTGGACGCTCCAGAGGGACGTGTGTCAACGCTTGAGAACCGAGCTTTCACGGTCGAGCAGCAGTGGCCTGAAATAAAGGCTGCGCTGGCTGAGCTGCGTGTTGTACGGACCCAGACTGATGAGCTGGGCATGCCGACTTCGGTTTGCGATTGCGCCGCCCTCGAAGCCCGATTGGCCGAGGTATGGGAGGCGGCGGACCACGCGTGGTTAGGACGCACCCGAATCTCCCATGAGAGAGACGCTGAAATTCCACAGGTCCTCGCCCGTTTGGACCAAGAGCGCGAAGCACACAACCGACGAATCCAGGACTTAGAACATCGGCTGGACCGGTACTCCCAGCGAGCCCGCCACACAAACGACGAGATGCGTGGCCTACTGCGGAGTGTTGAGAAGAGGCAGACCGACATCACAACCACCAAAGCTACCCTGACGGCCCACGTGAGCGACACTCAGATCCACCATCCGACCCCGCCTCCTGCACCTTGCACCGACCGTGCCCCAGCTCACGCCGATGGAGACGTCCGCGCTGGGGACACGCGACGTACGTCACTGGGCGCCGCCTGTGCAGCGGCTTCCATTCAGGCCCGCGCGTGCACCATCGCCAACTCCACTGGTTCCATCACAGACACTGTTGCACTTTTCTCTGTGTGGTACCACTCCTATCAAGGACTCAGATTGGTCCGGAACAACTTTGGCAGCGCCC